GGGAATTCCTCAGGAGTCAAACAGAGCAACCACAGCTGGAGAGGTGGTCATGATAAAAAAAAAAAGTAATAATAATTACAATCTCTACAATGGAAGCCTCTGCCGCGAGCAAGAATCATAAAGAGCTCACATAGCCAGGTCAGCAGACCCAGGAGTTGAGATAATAGAACAAATGAAAAAGACCATGAAATAACTCAACACCAACAAAATAACAGCCTACGAAACACAACAGTTGTAACGGGAAATGAAAAGGAGTAGAAACCATGCCAAAAAAGTGGGAGCGAGCAGAAGAAGAAAAGCTCGCGATGTGGACAGAACCACACAGAACTTCGAGACGTGAAAAGGACGCTCGTTGAAATGAATGACCCAGGGACAGTCTGAACAGCAGATTAGGCGTGTTTGAAGAGAGAATCAGTGCCCTGGGAGGCAGAGCTGAGAAAGCGACCCAAAATGTAACCACAGGAATCAAAAGAGATGAACAATATGAAGTGGAGGTCGAAAGAAAGGACAGAATGAGACGGACCAACTGTTTTCTGTTAGAAGATCCAGAAAGAAAGAATATGGGAGGGAGGAAGGTGAAGGAAGTCAGTATTTTAGAGATCATGGCTGGAGATTTTCCAGAATCGAGGAAAAGTGCTGAGAATAAAAACGAAGGTTTCTGATGCCAGTGTTTGAGCTTCCGGATCTCGCGTTAGCTGAAGATACAAATGCCCGAATGGGAACCAGTCAATCCAGGTGTCCGTTTAGGCCGCTGGAGGTGGGGCTCTGTCACCTCTCACTGAAAGCCCAGACGCACATGGGTTGCCGGTGAAGAGAGAGTGAGATTGCGTACAAGACCTAAGGGTGGTGTGACGCTCACCGCTCACCGCTCACCGCTGGTGCTGCCCACGCCTCGCCAGTGACCGGACCTCAACTTTCAGGTGTGAACCTCGCAAATTTTTTTCCCCCGAGGGCATTCTCTGGGACCCATGTGGTCCTGCCTGCAGCCAGGAGGGCCAAGGACTTAACATCCTCTGGGAGCAGCCCTCTGCTAAGGACTGGCAGGAGTTGATACGTGTATCTCAGCATCCTTGCCCCTCTTCTAGCCTTTTCTACGCTGGCTGACAGTTTCCCCAGCGGACGAGGGCTCCAGGAGCCCACAGCGGTGGCTGTCATCACCATCCTTCCTGCATCACTTCCCGCCTCCCCTCCTCCCCCATTTTGGGGTCCCCCTTCATCACCCGAATCAAGTACTTGCACGAATCAAGTACTGGGGGCGCCGAAGCTATGAGGGACAATGTGGCTGACTGACTTCGCTCTCCACCCTGGCGTCTGCCCACATCGGCTGACAGATCGCACGACCGGACACGTCGTCCCCTCCGGATGCCTAAATCGAATGCGTTCATACCAGGGGCGCCCTTAGTGTTCCTCTCTCAGCTTCTCTAGAATAAACGAGGCGCAGGGGACGTAGCTGCCCCTGGCATCATATCCGCAGGCTTACAAGTCAGAGTTCGCCTTTCCAAGTTGAAACTATCAAGAACAAGGTGCCAGCCTTCCCCACCCCAAGGGCGTCAAAAAACCAAAACGAAACAAAAAAAACCCCCAGCACAGTCTGCAAGTTCACCTGGGCTGACTTTTCATCTCAAATTAATTTTTCTTCACAAACTCTAGACAGAGACAGGGAAAGCTAACACCCTGCGTGGCAGCCAGGCTGAGTGGGGCCCTCAGAACACAGCGGGCTCCCCGAAATCCACCTCCATCAGCCCGCTGTGTGATCCACGCTAAGTCCTTCCATCACTGAATTTCAGCGAGCCGGGACGTAGGGTTTTCTCTGGAGAAGCCAACGCATTTTCCCAGAGAGGAGAAAGTGTGTATGACCTAAAATCACACAGGCCCAGGGGTGTTTTCCAGGGTCACGTCCACAAGTCCAGTGACTGACATCCATAAATCCCCGAGCCGGTGCTGGGGCCTCTGAAGATGACCAGCGATGAAGACAGATGGGCGACGTAGGGTGGGGACCGGTGCCCTTGCCCCACACCAGGGAGGTGGCAGTGCAAGCCATCCCTCATTAATTACCCAGTCTCAGCAAATAGCTTCATGCTCACTGCTAGTCTCCCCCCTTTCCTCTGCTAGGCTCACTCTGCTCTTTTGAAACCAGGAAAATCCCTGCCGGTTGGCCGGACGTGCATATGAATGGAATCAATCTGAAACAGCGACAGACAGCCCCTCTCCAGGAGGCCTGCCCTAATCCCTGGCACCTGGAATAGGGCGCCTGGTGATTACGTGATGCGTGATGCTACCTGGCCCAGCTGACCCAACGAGAAGGAGGTCTGCCTGGACGGCCTGGTGAGTCACGTGGGCTTTGGACGCACAGGGGTTTCTGGCGCTGATTTCAAAGATGACAGAGGGCTGGGGAAGTGAGAAGGGCTGCGGGGGCCTTACGTTGCCCAGAGAGGCTCTGGCACACAGCTTGCAAAGCAACGGACGCTTCAGCCCTCTAACCACAAGGAGCCTGGTTCTGCCAACAAAACGCACGGACGGGAAGCAGACCCTTCCCCAGCATCCGGGTCAAAGCCAGCCGGCCGCTGCTCTCAGCCCTGAAACCCTGAGCCTAGAACCCCGCTGAGCCCCCCTGGACCGCTGACCTACAGAGCTGGGAGCTAATGAGCAGGTGTTGGTTTAAGCTGTGAGGTGTGTGGCAGTTTGTGACACGGCAGCAGGCCACTAATACACCGTGTGCGCTGGGTGTGTCACTGCTCTGTGTCATCACAGACCCCACTACTCGGACAAGTGGCCCAAGGCCGGGCCGGTAAGACAAGTTTCTGTGTCTGCACCGACTCAGCCTCACTCTGGAACATGCTTCTGCTGCCCCCCATGTCCCCCACTTCCCCCCTTCTTGCTGAATCGCCCGCTGTCCCCACCCTGCCACCTGGGCTCTGACCTGTTTGGGGGTCCGCAGCGTGTCCTCAGCCGTGGCTACAGCTGTGATGGCCTTGCTGTTCTCCGCGCTGGGGTGGAGCGTGACAGACAGCCCGGCCACCAGCTGGATGGCCAAGTCTGTCACCGACACCTTGTCATCTAACACGGTGACTGTCTTCTCTGCCAGGATGGAGTCAGACAGTGGGGACAACACCTGTGGGATTAGCAGGACACAACACACATCCGTCACACCGTTTCCACGGTCGGAAACGTCCCCAGCAAATGCCTCCTTCATCCCAGACAGCCCCGAGGTCCAGAATACAGGATGAAGGGCTCTGGTACCATCCTTACCTTGTATACTAGCCCCTATGGTATCTCTGTGACAGTCAGACAAAGTCACCCGTTGTTCCCAAGATACTAGTTCTGTCTGTCAGAAAGGTGAACTAAACCTTAAAACCCATCCTGTTTTTAAAAGGAAATGACCCCTTTCATGTAGATGAGGCATCCTTGTGCAGTGTACAACCTGATTAACTGGACGTGGCGGTCCTGCTGGCTGGACTCATGAAGAGTTGCACACAAAATGACCTCGTGCAGCCTGAGTCACATTCTAAGTGAACTATGGAACTAACGGGGAGAGCCGAATTATAAGTAGCCTGTGCTCCCATCAAAGCCCCAGCCACATGTCCTCTGCTGAAACATGACTTTCTGCTCCTCTCCTAAGCCCAGTGTTGGACTTGAGATGTCCAGGTGAAATGATGGAGGTGTACCCGTCATTTCCACATATGGAGGTCACGTAAGGACCTGGAACGACGTTCCAAAAAAGGCGGAGTCAGGAGGGGGGGGACTTGAGGGCTTGTGGAGAAGGCCCTCCATGCCTCTGACGTCTGTCCTGAAACCCCACGTTCTATACATTTCCTTGAGCAGAAGAGACAGCAGGCCTTTGAAGAGAGTTTGTTGAATTCTGAATAAGTGGTAGAATGACTTAAGGAACGCAGCGGGGAAGGCAGGCTTCTTCCCTTGGCCACTGGAGGAGCAGTGAAGAGGGGGCGGGTTATTCCCAAGGGCGTGCTGGGAGGTGGAGCTAAGACAGGAGGGTCACAGGCAGCATGGAGAGTGCTGGGCGGTGCTGGGGACGGAGGCTGCAGCATCCAGAGAGGGTCGTGTGGGGGCCAAGTGCCACCACCTTCTCCAGTCTGTTAGGAAGCAGACCGGGACTCAAGGAGCTGGTCCAGGCTCACCTTCTGGTGACCCCAGGACGCTGTCACGGGGACAGCGCACTGGCCACAGTGACCTGCCCATCTCGCGAGCCTCATCCGTGCTGGCACCAAGCTCAGTGCTGGACGCGCAGAATTCCCCGGCTCCGGCTTCCTACCTGGATGGTGGTCATCCCGACCTCGCGCCCGACCAGGATCCTGCTGTCCTGGAGGGTGGCCACGTGCGGTTCCTCCAGCTTCATGAAGCCAGCCACCAGGTGAGTGATGTCCACCTGCCAGTCGGGGCTGAGCAGGTGGCTCAGCTGTCCCCACGGGCCGGCGCCCTCAGCCACAAACTGGGTGAGGACGCGCACGGTGGCATGCTGGTACTGCAGGGCGCAGCCCCGGCCCCGCCTCTCGTCCTCGTCTTCGTCCTCGCTGTCTCGCGTGGGCCTGTGAGGAAGGAGGAGGGACCCACTCAGCCCCAGGGCATGCCATCAGCGGGGCTCTCGGGTCACAGGCCCGCCAACGGGGGCCACCTCCACCTCCAAGACACCGCGGACCTGCAGGAGCCGCAGGCCCACACGGGAGCACAGAGCGTCAGACACCTCCTTCCTGAAGACGCTTATTGACGACACGCTTGAGGGCTAATATTTACTAAACCTACACCACCCCTTACGTCGCTAAAAGCCATGTGACAATTCACCACTGCATTTCAATGCATACAAGTTAAAGACGTTAAGAAATTAAGTTTCTCAGCATCTCACTGTCTCAGTTCCTCTCCTTGGCTGTGCTGTAGCTGGGCCCTTAAAATGCAGACCCTGGTGCCTGGGAGACTGTCGGGAAAATGGCCCTGATGGCTTAGGACCCAGGATTCCAGGCAGGAAACCAGGAACTTGGCAATGACTCCTGTATAGTGTATGCGGGGTCACAGAGCTTGGCAAACAAGACCTCAGATGCCGACATGTGACAATCCAGGGTCCCACAGAATGCATCAAAGGCTTAAGAGCAAACCGTAACCCCATGGCCCCGTAGAAATGCAATTAAATTGTATTCAATAATTGGATATGCACAGAGCTTTGCAAGCTTATGGATATTCATGAGGTGCAGAAACAGGAATGACAGTTTCACTTACAGAAAATAAACCCAAAGTCAAATCCCCTGGGGGCTTAGGGGCGAGAAGAACGGGTCACGTCTGTTGCTTCCTTCTGAGGAGGCTCGTTCAGGAGACAGGCGACTGGAGGAGGCCCAAGTGTAGGGTGCACCTGGCCTGGCCTTCCTGCCTGGCCGGGCTGTCCTGGCCTTGGTCTCCTCAGAGCGTTGTCGCTCGGCTGCACGAAGTATAATCGCCGTGGTCATAGCAGAACCTACTATGTGCACCTACTATGTGCCAGTCCCTGCTCCCTGCGTGTGATGACGGATAAACACAGCCTTTGTTATCGGGCTCACCTCTTACTGGCCACGATGGGGACCCTCCAGCCTTTGATCTGGCTCAGCTCCGTGTCCGAGACCTCGATCTGCAGGGGCAGCCGGGGCACCCACACGGTGACACGCAGGGGGGCGCTCAGGTACTGGTACGTGAAGTTCACCACCGCGTCCACCTTGCCTTTTATCTCTTTGCCGTTGACAAAGACGTAATCGCAGCGGTCGGACACCTGCAAAGACAGAGAGGGGATGGAAGGCTTCACGGGACCCTTCTCTACTGGCTTTTTCCTCGTGCGAAGCACACGTGCTTAATTGAGGCTCGTCCCAATGCAGAGTCGGAAGCGAGCGCAGTTGGTGAACTTGGGAGGTGACCCTGGGGGGGAGGGGCCTGGAGCAGAGTGAGGGAGACAGAGAAAGCGGGAAAGGAGCAGTTTTTGCATTTGCCGCCGTGACCACCGGGCTATTTCCCCAAGGCTTCATGAGAAACATACCACACTGTCTACCTGAAGGGTCAGAGGCAGGAAGGCCGCACGACCAGTTCCCATCTCTCCCTGGGTAAGGGCTGCCCTAGGGGTTAACTCCCCTGCACTTTCAGACTGACACACAGACCCCGGGAATCTGAGCAGCCCTGGGATGGGGAGTAGAAAGCAGCTTGGGGTGGGATTTTGTGCAACCACCGAGTGATTTGAACCTGCAGAGGGCTGCAGCTGGGACTGAACTATGCGTAGGCCGAGAGAATGTGACGTGGGCGCCAGAGGTGTCTGTTCCCCAGGCTGACGTCTGCTCCGAAAACGAGCCGCACTCACATGCCACCCCACCCGGCCCCCCGGGATCCCCAAGGCCTTTTACCGCGGCCCCCCCAATAGGAAAACTCCCCATCCCTACCCTTCTCCTTCAGTTCATAAAGCCCCAAAATTTTTGAGGAACCCCCAGGCCCCCAGCGTCAAGGCCCCCCTCCGGGGAACCGCTTTCCTCCCTTTTCGGTGGGCCTGGCCAGGGCCTCCCCTGACACCCTCAGACTGTTTATACATTTGTATTGTGGTTGTTCATCCTGTGAATGGCAGCATCGCATTAGTGACCACCAGCTTATGTTTTCTTCCTTAGCATCTTTCATCTTCCCCTTTTCCTTTCTCCGTTACTAGCAGATCTTTGCAGATAGAGCACAACGCAAAACAAACATACAAAGAAAACTAAAAGTCGGCACATGTTTCGATTTTGTGTTCCAGAGACTCGACCCTTAGGGACATGAATCCATATACAGTCCCAAGGACAGTCTCACGTGGCACAGAGACCGAAGGAAGATGCCTGCGTCCCCTGGAACAGGCTGGACGGGGCACCGGGTGGGACCACATCAGAGGTCCCCCATGTGGAGTGACT